ATGGATGATGGATGATGGATGGGTGATGGATGGATGATGGATAATGGATGATGGATGGATGATGGATGGGTGATGGATGGGTGATGGATGGATGATGGATGATGGATGATGGGTGATGGATGGATGATGGGTGATGGATGATGGGTGATGGATGGATGGGTGAGTGAGTTCACCCGCTCGCCCGCACCCACGCCCACACCTGGATGTACAGGTCCACTAGCTCATTTTGGCGTAGGATGTAGTAGATCTTCCCCGCCTGCAGCCAGGCATATGCCTCCTTCTCCTTCTTCTGCAGGTCGATGAATATCCCCAGGCTCTGCTTGGTGTAGTCCAGAGCAGATTTGTAGGCCCTGGGAGCAGATGTGGCTGTCATGACAGGAGTTTCCCTGTGGGGTGCTGATGGATAGGCCTGGGATGTCGGGACCACAGGGGCACTCCACTGCGGCTGGCCACCTGCCCTCCCCAGGGTGCCGGGAGACCAGAGGACCCTGCCCTGGAGAAGCAGGGCGCTGTCCCTGCCCTCCTCACTGTGCAGTCTGGGCCAAGGCAGGAGCTGCCCCCAGCCCTGGGATGTCTGGGTCCTTCCTCACTCTGTGAGTCCCCACGCTGGACAGCGGGTGTCGCAGCACCGATTCCCCCAAGCCCTGGACCCAGACCCGAGACCCTGTCCTGGGGAAGCAGGAGGGACCTGCTCACAGGCCACTGTCACATCTTGGGGACAAATGGGGCCAGACAGCTGAGCCAGAGCTAAAAACTCAGGGCAGGCAGAGGTCAGCTCACAAAAGCCACCATCACCATGAGCAGGGTGTGTGGCACACACCTGTCATCCCCACACTCTGGGAGGCTGAGGCAGGAGGATGACAAGTTTGAGCCAAGCCTGGGAAACAGCAATTTAGTGAGACTTTGTCTCAAAATAAAAAAAGGGCTGGGGATGCAGCTGACTGGGAGGGCCCTGGCTTCAATCCCCAGTACTGCAAAAATCAATCAAACAAACAAACAAACACACCACACAGGCAGGGAGAGCGGCCTGGAGTTCCATGTCCCCCGCTTTGAGGAACAAGCCTGTAGGGGGTGGGGCCGAGACAGGCCAAGCTGGACTTGTGTCATGAATAGCAGCCAGGACCGCCCTGGCCCGCCAGGTGGGGCTCGCTGACTGAGGCCCTGTGGGCCCCAGGCAGAGGGGCTGCCACCTACTGCAGCCCTGGCCCTCACCGCTCAGTGCCCAGCGACAGGTAGAGCCGGCTGATGGCCTCCAGGAGCTGCCCCTCCAGCACCTTGTCAGCCACCTTCCGGGCCAGGGTGAGCTGGAACTCCAGGTAGATGACGGACTGTGCCTTGTCGGGCGCCACGCTGCTGTAGAAATGGCAGAGCCGCTGGACAGCGCACAGCTGGCCTGCGGAAGAGACAGGAGTCGTCGCCCACAGCTCCACAGCTGCCCCTCTGCCTTGCATGCTCCAAGCCGGGTCCTCGCAGACGGGGAACTGGCCCGAGACAGGTGCGGCCCTGGGCCAGGTCCAGGACAGCACAGGCGTCACGAGGAGCCCTCCAGGGTCCTGGCCAGGCTCCAGGCCTCCCTGGTGCAGACGGATGTGGGCAGCCAAGCCGAGGGTCCTGCCTGGACCGGGCCATGGGGTGGACACCGCCCGGCTCCAAACCACAGCTCCATGGCCTCCTAAAATGGGTGAGAGAGGCGGGAGCTCCTGCCTCAGAAGCCCCCCAGGATCAACCAGGAAGCCAAAGGCTTCACCACTCCACAAACCAGCTGCTCCCAGCAGGCACCCATGTCACCTGCCTGGCACCAGCGGCATGCAGCCCTGTCCAGCCCGGGTCACGCGGCAGGCCACTGCACAGGTCTCAGCAAACAGAAAATGGCTGCAAGAACACAGCAGCCTTTCTTCAGTAATGCTGAGTGAAATTAGAAATTACAAACAGACTGCTGGGTGTGGGGGCCCACACCTGTAAGTCTAATACTCAGGAGGCTGAGGCAGGAGGATCGCTGTGAGTTTAAGGCCAGCCTTGAGACCTTGTCTCAAAAAAAGAAAAAGAAAACTGTAGGAACAGAAGGGAGACTGGGAGATTCCCAAATACGTGAAAATTAAATTACTCCCAAATCACCAGGGGTCAAAAAGAGGTCTACTAGAGGGAAACTAGAAACCATTTTGAGATGATTGAAAATTAAATTGCAATGCGCCAAAACCTAACAACACTGTGGTAGCTGTGCCTAGAAGGAAATTTAGAGCCACAAATGCTTAGTTACAAAAAGCAGCTGGACACAGGTACACGCCTGTCATCCCAGCTTCTCGGGAGGCTGAGGCAGGAGGATTGAAAGTTCAAGCCCAGGCTGGGCTACTTAGTGAGACCGTCTCAAAATAAAAACCCAAGGGCCGGGGACTTAGCTCAGGGGGACCGTGCCTGGCAAGCACAACGTCCTGAGTTCGATCCCCAGTACCTCCCAATAAATAAATAAATAAAAATAAAAATTAAAAACTTAAAAAGGCTGGGGATGTAGCTCCCTGGTAGCTTTCCTAGCATGAGTGTGGCCCTGGGTTCCGTCTCCATTACCACAAAAAAGAAAGAAAGAGGCTCAGTGGTTCCCACGCCTGCCTTGCAAGTGCAAGTTCCCGAGTTCAATCCCTGGTACCAAAAAAAACAAAACAAACAAACAAAAAACCCCACAAAAAACAAAAAAGAAAGAAAGAAAGAAAGGAAGGAAGGAAGGAAGAAAGAGAAGGAGAAATTTCAAAGCCAGAACCTAAACTTCCACCTTAAGAAACTAGAAAGGGAAGAGTTAATTAATCTCAAAGCGAACAAAGGGACGAAAATAATGAAGATCAGAGCAGAAATAAATAAGAACATAGAGAAGAGAAAAACAATGAAACCAGGAGTTGGTTCTTGGAAAAGACCAACAAAATCGACAAACTTCGCCAGGCTGCCGCAGAGGGAGCAGTGAGGCAGGCAGATTGCCGACAGCGGCCGAGCGCAGGCGTGGGGAGAGCGAGGCAGCTGTGCCTGCGACGATGGGGACCCCAGCGGCCTGGGCTCCCGGAGAAGGGGCCCCCACGCGTGCTCAGGACTCGCGGGCCTCTGCGCCTCCCGAGGACCCGAGGGTCCCCGACAGAGCCGCCCTCCCTCTGCTGCGCCCGCCGGGAGGGAGCCCCGGGGGCCACCCTCCTCCCTCCTTGGCCCGTTCCTGGGGTCGCCTCCTGGAGCCGTCTCCTCGGGCCTGTGCTCGGGATAGCAGAGGTGGCCACAGCCCTGGGCTCTGGGTGACCCCAACTGTTTCAGGACAGGAGGACAAGCCAGGACCCCGGGCAGGGATGCACAGGAGTCCCTGTCCAGGCTTTCCCCAGGAACTCCGACTGCCCCTCAAGCATGTTCCCTACCTGTGCCCTTGCCTGATCCCTGCTGCCTCTGCCAGCTGTCTCATCCCACCTTGCCTCCACTCGTTGTGCACAGCCGTGGTGAGAACTCTACAGCACTCAGTGGCTCCCCAGTGCTCCCAAGGAAAAGCCAAAGCACAGCCTGGGCCCCTGGGCCTGCTCGGCCCTCCTGACAGAGGCCCTGCCCGAACACCGGAGTGCTGCAGGATGGACCTGGGTTTCCTCCAGGCAGAGAGTGTGGGAGTGGGCAGGCAGTAGGCTGAGACTACGGACACCTGGAGCCCTGGCACCTGACGGACGTTCTTTCCAGCTGATCGGCCTGAGCTTCCTCAGCAGGGCTGGGATGACCGAGCATCTGCCAGTGTCTACCACGCAGCATCTCCAGGGTGGAGAAACAGCGCTGGCCATGGAGTCCCAGCCCCCAGTTGTGCTCTGAACAGAGATGGAAAAACCAAGCTTCCTTTCCAGGGAGCCCTGAGCCCGTGCAGACTGGGGAACAAGGACAGCCAGGGTGGCACTTACTCTCTAGGTGGTCCGTCTCCACGGCGACCAGGAACGCCCACTGGTAGTAGCACTTGCCCTGCTGCACGAGGCCCCGGCAGGTGTACAGCTGTCCCGTCCGCAGCAGTACCTGTGTGAAGTCCCGGCCACACTCCCCGCTGGGCAGCAGCGAGAAGACCCCGATGGCCTCCAGGAAGTAGTGCTGGGCCAGCCGGCCGGCGCCGGCCTGCATACACAGGGCCCCGAAGTTGGCCAGGACCACCGCCTGGTTCTGGCGTTGGCCCAGGCGCCGGGCAGTGTGCAGGGCACGGTAGTAGCCCTCGGCCGCCTGCTGGGTCCTGCCCATCCGTTTCAGGGCCATGGCCGCCATGTTGGCCACCACTCCCTCCTGGTCCTCACTGGCCACTGCCGAGTCCAGGACAGACTCCAGGATGTGCAGGGCCACCAGGGTCTGACCCTGGAGCATGTGCAGCCAGGCCAGGGCCGTCAAGTGGGCCACCACAGGGCGGGCCCCGGCTGTGGTGTCGGCTTCTACCGCCCGTGTCATGAAGGCGATGGCCTGGCCGTGCTGTCCATGGTGGCTGTACAGCTGGGCCAGGCTGGCGTAGAGGGCACCACGCAGCCCCTGCCCGGGGCCCGAGGCCAGGGAGGCCAGCGCCTGTCTGAGGTAGTGGGCGACCTGTGCGGGGAGGCAGGGGGCCCTGGTCTGGGCATGCAGCCGGGGGCCGCTCTGGAGGACCAGGTCCACGCTCCGAAGGGAGCTGGCTAGCGACCCCCTTGTCCCCAGCGAGGCCGCCCTGATGCAGCTCAGGGCCAGGTGGGGCAGACACTTCCAGCTGTAGGTGTCTGCCAGCAGCAGGTAGCAGTCTGCGGGCCATGCAGCATGCAGGGTCCCCAAGGCCTTGTGCAGAAGCAGCAGCCGCTCCAGGTAGGGCAGGGTCTGCTCGGGCTGCCTGAGGCGTGTGTGGTGCTGGACTAGCAGGAAGCAGGCCCGGGCCTCCGCCTGTGGGCTCTGGGCCACAATGGCCCGGCGCAGCGCAAACCTCAGGAGCTCGGCCTTGGCCTCGGAGCTGCCCACCTGGCCGGGCGTCCCCAGGAGCAGGGCCGCAGCCCTGGACATGGCCTGGGCACACTTGTCCCTGTTCTTCTGCTTCAGGTAGACGCTGGCCAGGTGGGTGTGCACAGCTACCACCAGGAAGAGGTCCCTGAAGCAGCCCCCCAGGGCGCCCAGGGCTTCCTCATAGTACACCCGGGCCTGGGACAGCTTGAGCCTCCGGGCGCATAGCTGCCCCAGCAGGAAGCAGAGTCTGGCCAGAGCCATGCCCAGGCCGGCCTTCTTGGCCGCCCCTCGGGCCTGTGCCAGGCGGTCAGCCAGCTCCTCCTCATCAGCCAGGCCGCTGGACATGCTGCTCAGCCACGACAGTGAGTCATTATACAGGCTGCGGAAGCCGGCCTCATACACCGGTGCATTCAGGAGCTGCAGCAGGGAGCCCGGGGCCTCGGGGCCGGCCCAGCCGTCCTTGGCATCCAGGCAGAAGGGGGGCTCCTCAGGGTCTGGTGAGCTCCAGCTGCTGGATGCTGCTGGGGGGCCCCAGGGCACTGGCTCCTCGGGGCAGTGTGGGCAGCTCTTGCACTGTTGGAGGACGCCCCTCACTGTCTGCAGGGTCTCTTGCAGTTCCGGGGATGGGCAAAGGGGCGGCGCCTCTGCTGGCCACAGGAAGGCACAGTCGGTTAGCACCAGCCTGGCTGCAGCTGCCCCTGCCCAGGCTGCCCTCGGAGCCTGTGGTCCTGCCCCAGCGCTTTCCTGGCACTGAAGGTCATGGGAGGCCTGTGAAGACTTGGTCACCGGATCCCAGGACAGACCTGGCCCAGTTGGCCTTGCTACTGACCTGCCCCCTTCCCTCCACCCCTGCTGTCCTCATGCACCATGGCTCAGGGGCCTCCCGAAGGCCCCCTCCCCCTGGAAAGGATGGAGGCCGCCTAACCAGTCTGCCCCATCCCACCACAACCACAGAGCGCGGCTTCGTGATCGGCAGGCTGTCTCACCAATGGCCAGTTGGAGCTTTCCACCAGCGTGAGTTAAAAACACCACACAACACGGGTTGGGGTGTGGCTCGGTGGCAGAGCGCACGCCTGGCATGCGGGAGGCCCTGGGGTCCATCCCCAGCACCGAAAGTAAATCAAAAAGGACCCAACCCAGGGGAGGAAGGGACGCGGTGCCCGTGTGCCCAGCGCCACAGCAGGAAAGGGCCCATCCGCAGCAGGGGAGTGGGCGGTTCAGGATTCTGGGCCTGCCCTGGACAGGAGCAGGGTTAAAGCCAAGTCCTTCCCTCCCTGGGGAAGAGCTAACAAGCCACGTTTCCTGCTGGGAAAACACGGGCTGCCCAACTGGGAGTTATTCGGGAGGACCAGGACCAAACTGCCTCCGAGTTCACCCGTAAAAAGTGTTCTCAAACAGTCTCTACTGCTCTGCAAAGCCTCGGCGTTAGAAGACAATTGTACATGGCTCAGGGGCCAGCGAGCTAAGGCCTCACGGGGGAGCCCCCAGGCTGCTTCCCGCTGCTGGCCAGTATGGATGGCCGCATGCCCCCAGGACCTTTGCCAGGTTCCCTCGGGTGTGCAGCGCCTGGCAGAAGCGGCACCGTCCCTCTGTGCCCAGCTGGGGCCACTCCCAGGGCACCGCCGAGCCCTGCCCCTCTCAGAGAGGTGGGGGAAGGGGCTGCAGAGAGGCGGGGAGAGGGTACCCGAAAGGACAGACCCTCCAGGGGAGAGAGCTGCCCGAGGGACTTCCTCTCCAGCCCGAGGCAGAGGGGACATCAGAGTCCCATCCACCGTGCCCAGCTCCATGGCCTTTGCCCACACCCCAAGGCCACAGACTGGGGACCCGAGACACAAGGCAGGACCTACCGTGTTCCTCCGGCTGCTCGGGCTCGGCCTCCTCCAGCCTGTCTGAGAAGGGAGAGCAGCATCACCACCTCCCCTCGGGGACACAGGACAGGCGACCCGGCCACCAGAACCTCGCGGGACAGTTTGCTCGGGGGCCTGGAGACCCCAACCCACATCTTCCAGCCTGGGAGCTGGCGCAGTGGTCTGGCCCCAACCCTCTGCTTGCTGGGGCGGGGGACACACTGGCACCAGGGCAGTAACACGGGCAGTGGGGCACTTCATGGCAGCAGCTGAGCCCACAGCCCTGGCTGGGCCCCATCCACACGTGTGCCACCCAGCTCACCCAGGGCAGCCCCTCCCCGGCCTCGCTCCCCTGCCCCAGGATGTGCTGCTGCTCACTGGCCCTGGGCTGCCACAGAAACCCAATGAGGAAAGATGTGTAAAGTGTAAAGTGACATCAAGTGTGACCACGATGTGTGGCTCCTGGTTGCCCAGCCCTGTGGGGCCAGACAAACATCCCTGCGGCCCTCCAGCCACCGTGTTCCACCCAGTGAGGGCCCTGCTCTGCTTCCCAAGAGGCCCCGGTGGCCTCAGGGAGGCTTTGAGCTCCAGGACACTGAGGTCCAGCTAAGTCTGTCCGTGTGGGTGGAGAAACTCATTTGTGGGGTCTGAAAAGATTCAATCTGATATTCCCGGAGGAGGTCAACCAGTGCATGTCACCAAGCAGGAAGAAAAGCACGTCTAGAAACGGGTATGTCCCTAGACACGTGCGTATACAGTGTAGAGTGCATCCCTGTGGGCGTGTGTTGCACATGCAGGTATGCACGTGTGTGGTGTGCTTATGTGTCTATGTGCACGCGTGTCTGTGTGTGCATGAGTGTATAGGTCTGTTTATGTCTGTGAGTGTGTACATGTCTGTGTATACACACATGGATGTGCACACAGATGCATACATGCATGTGTACACGTGCATGCCAGTGGGTGGGTATATATGTGTACACGTGTGTGCGTGCACATGGGAACAGTGGCTGGTGTACATGCTTGCTCTCAGCCCCTGCAGCAGGATGAGCGTGAGTTGTGTGCGCAGTGCCCTCATGACCTGCAGAGCCAAGTGGGCGGCTTGGCCGGTGCCTGCCCTGGTCTGTCCTTGTCACCAATGCTGCTCCCTTCCTCCTCGTCACCCTGCGTGGCAGCCTCACCCATCCAGGGCACACAGGTAGGGCCGGGACAGCACTGTCTTTCCAGGGGGCTGCCTAGGGCTCCCGCGGATGCACCCCAGGGGCCCAGTGAGCCGGGTGTGGGGTCAGGAGGGGAGAGAAGCCACCAAGTGAGGCCCAGGCCCCCAGCTGCGGCAGGGGAGGAGGGCCTGGCACCAGTCCACAGGCAGCACGGAGCCTCAGTCGCTGCCCTGTCCCCAGCCCTGGCTGTCTCCCTTGTCTGGCCTGGCTTGTCTGCAGCCCCTACCCCCAAAGCACATGGCTGTCTGCTCACCTTTCTGTGCCTGGGCCTGGCGTTCACTAGGCACACCGAAACAGAGATAGCAGGGCCCGAGAAAGGAAAGAGGGGAGGGTGGCCGAGGAGGGCAGATGGGGCCGGAAACACTCCGCCCTCTGGGCTGTGCAGATGTATAAACCGAGCCCTGGACAGGCGACCCAGCGAGTCTCCACCCAGTGGACGCCGCTCCAATCCAGCCAGGGGCAAAGCCATGCGGCTCTGCGCCCTTCAACCGGCCACTGACCTCCCAGGCATCTGCCTGAGGAACTCTCCGCCGCCAGCGCCAGGGCCCCAAGAGTCCGCTGCCTGCACCTACCCAAGCTGTACGTGGTGCACATGTCCCTGCCGGACATCCTGCCCAGCAGCTGCCGGGCGTTCTCCTCAGAAAAGCGTCCCTCGCTGCTGAAGAATGACCGCTCCTCCTCGTCCAGAAAGATAGCATCCTCCAACCTGGAAACATGGAAGGCTTTACTTCCAACCCCGCATTCCCACAGGCAGCTCCAACGGGCTGACCAACCTGCTGGGCTCCAGTGGAGCCAGAGTCCACAGGACCTTCCCAGAAGGTGGGAGAGATCCAGCCAGACCCCCACAGGCTGGCCTCTGCCAGCATCCTGCGGACGGCCACTGCATCTCAAGCTTTGCGGGGAAAGTCCCCAGGGACCCTGGCAGCAGCTTCCTTTCTGTGTCTCCTTGTCTGTGCCTCCCGAAACCTGCTGACCCAACCCTGCCCAGGGGAAGCTGTCTGCCTGCTCTCCCTGAGTCAGGAACACAAGCCGATTAGATCTGTAACTAAAGTTGACATCATTTTGTCTTTTGACAAAAGTAAACATTTCACAGTTAGAGCCCTCTCTACTCCTTCACTTGACAGTCCCTACATACCTAGAGTGAGATGAAAACAGCAGTTCTGGCCTCCAGGAGACACTGTCTGGCCTGGGACAGATGCCCAGAAGCAGAAAAGGCCATGAGTTTGGAGAGAGTGAACTCCTGTGCAGCCTTCAAAGCCCCACCTCAAATGTCCCCTCCCCTATGAAGCCTGCTATGACAGTGGCCACTGTTCCTCCTACAGCCTCTGCCAGTGCATCCCATGGGGCACAACACAAAGAAAGGGCTCAGAAGTGACCCATAAAGTCAGAGAGAGGAAGCAGTGGAGAGAGGAAAGGAAGGAGGAGGCAAGTTTTGCCTCTAGAACTAAATTTCCAGGACATGAAACTGAAATGCAGTATTGAAGAAAATGCTAGAGCAGGTTGTAATACATTCTACAAAGTAACAGTCCCCAGCCCATCAAAAATGTCAGTGTCCAAAGACGAAGCCACAGATGAAGGAGAAAAGCCAGGAAGGCTGTGAGCACCAGGCGGGCGGGGGATTCTTTAACTGTGAAGGGCACAACCAGAACGCCGGGTCGCTTGGCAAGTGCACTGGACCCGACTCTGACCCCAGACCCTGGTTTTCCCCGCCAGCCTGTTTGCAGAGTGAACCGGGCTTCTCCTCTAGGCTTGGTGGGGCGTAGATCTGCTCACCCCACACGGGCCCCAGACACTGGTGGGGAGGGGGAGCCTCAGAGAGGTTCAGGCCAGGGCCGAGGTCCCCAAGCCTGCCGAGGAACCAGCCAGCCTGGGCGAGTCAGAAAGAGCGTGGATCTGCAGTTCAGACACGCGTGAGACACAGGTCAGCAGGAAAAGGGAAAGGCAAGTCTGCGTCTCCCACCGGGGGTGCCTGGGGAGCCCACAGGGGGCGTGGACGGAGCGCTCCCCTCTTCCCGGGCAAGACCACGTCTGTGACAGCTCCAGGGGTCACTTTGGGAGACACCAGGCCCCCCGCTTCCCCTGCCTCTGCCGGGCAGAGGCAGTCAGGCCTAACTGGGAGGGGGTGAAGGGGCCCCAACACAGGGGCGGGGTTTGGTCTAAGAGGTGCAGGCTGCCGCTGTCTCCTGTGTGGGAGAGGCGGTCCACGGTGGCAGGACGGGTGAGGGCAGTGTCCACACCCACGCCCCAGGCCCTTGGGCCAAGGCCGCGTCCTGGGAAGCCGAACTCTGTCCAGGGGTGGGCATAGCTGACACTGACCACCCCCACACCCCCCACCCTCAGCCTGCAGTTGCCCAGAGCTGGGCAGTGATGAGGTGACCAGGGAGCCCTTCCCTGGGGCTTGGGGACAGGGTGGGGGCTCACGCAGGGGACAGAGCAGGCCTGGGAGCAGCATCCCCAGGGATGAACCATCGCAGGAGGGACTCGGGGCCTTGAAAGCAGGGTGGAGGGGTCACACATGTCAACACAGCCTTGTTAAAAAGGGGAAAGCCCCTGGGTATGGTGGTGCACACCTGTCATCCCAGTGCTCTGGGAGGCTGAGGCAGGACAATCACAAGTTCAAGCTCAGGCTGGGCAACTTAGTGACTTAGCAAGACCCTGTCTCCAACTAGAAAAGAAAAAGGGCTGGGGATGCAGCTCAGTGCCAAGCTCTGGGTTCAAGGGTAAGGAGCCCAGCCCTCTGGCAGAGCTGGGCTTGGGGTGAGCCGATGGCCAGTGGCGGCCTTCGACATTGAGGGTCACCAGGGCCTTGAAGGCCAGAGAAGAGCTTTGCTGGGCTTTGAAGGGGAGTGACGTGATGCATAGGGTTGAATGGTGTCCCCCAAATTCATGATTACTGGGACCTCTGGTGATGGGTAAGCAAAGGCCAGGCAGGAGCAGGGTGGGTGCCTGCTAAGAGTGGAAACAGAGTCAGTCACGGAGGGGGAGCCTCGTGGACACAGGCAGGGCTCACTGGGGATACGGCAGAACTGGGGAGGGCAGGGCAGGAAGGATCCCTGTGAGCCTGCAGGCCACAACCCCTTGCCACTGAGGACTGAAGTTCTGACCCCTGAGCCCCTCGGGGTGGCATGCACAGGCTCACATCCGCAGGGACCCCTCCTGCGAGCGCTGGAGGAAGGACAGGGGCCCCGGGGCCTGGCACCCCACAGGAGCAGTGGGGATGGGTTCAGAAGGGGCCTCCACCACTCACTCAGATGCAGGGTCCTGCAGGCAGATGAGACTCGAGGGCACGAAGCCCACGCAGCCTGAGGCCACGTGCTGGGCCACGCACCAGGGCAGGCCAGGCACCCGGGCACTGAGCAGCTCCAGGAGGTCACCAGTATGGAGGGACAGCTCTTCAGGGCCTGAGCTCTGCCAGTCGGCCACTGCGGAGACCCGGCCGCACCCTGCAGGAGGAGACCACACAGTCAGGGCCCGGCCATGCCAGGACAGGGCTCCCTCTGCCCACACAGAATCCCTGCATTCAGCTTTTGCCTATGGAGGCTCACAGGAGATGTGTTCTAGGAGCCTCGAGCCCAGCTTCTTGTTCCATCTTGGGGAAGGTCCAGGGAGACGCAGGAACTTCCCAGATGCTGATGCCCCCATCCTGGCTCCCCACAGAGTAGAGGCCCATGGGGACACTCACCCACCAGCAGCGTGTCGGGTGGCCCAGGTCCATCCACAGAATCTTCGGCAGGGTCCCAGGGAACTCTCAGAGCCCACCTGGAGCAGGGAGAGGAGTCTGTGCTGCACGGTCAGCTTGGGGTGGAGGCATCTGTGCCCTTCGGATCCCAGCCCCTCCGCACACGCAGATGCACCTGCCCAGGTGTGCACAACCTCGGCCTGGTGCGTGTGGATCCCACCCTGGCTTTGCCTTCTCCCCACCACATGCCGGGACAAATTGCTCCTTTCTCTGGGCCTCAGCTCCTCCGGCCAAGAAATAGAAAGCTGGACCAGGTGGTTGGCAGCTGCTCCAGCTCTATCATTCAGGAACCCTGTGGCCTAAGAATGAGCTCTGTGCCTGTTGGGGGCCAGGGGTCTCAGCACACTGGGGGCTTCTCAGGAGAGAGGCTGAGTCGCAGCCGCCTTTTCACCGACACTGTAATTCAGCACACTAACTTTCTCTCTTTGCCTTGGCTGCCAGGAAGCTCCCAGCCAAGCTGGCCCGTGTCCAGCAAGTGACAGGGCTTTCGTGTTTCCTGGCCTCGAGTCCCCTGGCTTTGCCTGCACTGAGTTTTCGTCTGGGCAGTGTGGGGTGGCACGCTGCACTCTCCTGTGCCCTCCAAACCCAGGACAGCTCTGCCAAGTTGATGCCAGTGCAGCCTAGGCCCAGAGGTGGGACTGCCAAGGTCACAGGGCCTGGGGCATCCTGGGCCCCACCCAGAGCTGCGGGGAGGGACAGCGAGGCTGGTACCTACTGGTGGAACGGACCCAGGGGCTGCTCTGGGGCTGCGCCAGGGCCGGAGGCTGAGGAGTCTGCTGCTGGGGTCGCCTCTCCCAGGGAGCCCCCCGGAGCCGGTCTGTGGGGCTGCGCCTTCTCTGCGCCCTGGGCGCCCGGCGTCAGTCTCACGCGGTGGTCAGGACACAGGACGAAGAAGGGCCCTGCAAAGGGACAGAGGCGTCACAGGGCAGCCACCCCGCTAGGCGGGACCCACCCTGACGTCCTCATCCCTGGGTCCCAGGTCCACCTCACTTGCCCTGCAGGGTGGCTCAACCTCAAACTCTCTCTGGGCCTCAGTTTCCCCAAGGGTGCTATTCAGGGCCAGACTTTGACCCCTAGAGCTCTCTCTGCTTGGGCTGCCACCGAGTCTGGCCACAGCTGTGCACCCCACACCCCAGGCCGGTGTCCTGCAGACTGGGGGGACCAAGCGCACCAATCAGGAAGGGCGGGGCTCTGGACAGCTCCTCCTCCGTTCCGCTCAGCCCCCTCTGGCCACCAGCATCTGGGCCAGGGTGTCCGAGGCAAGTCCCTCCCACCCCAAACTCGCCCTGGGTCCCTCGCCCAGGTCACAGCTGCCCGCACAGCACGGAGCCCACCTTCCTGGGCCAGGAGGCTCTCCTGCATCAGCCTCAGGGCGTCCTCAGCCACCTGCACACAGATGGCTGCCTCTTCCTCCTCCTCCTCCTCCTCCTCCTCGCCAGGCGCCAGCAGCCAGAAGGTGGCGTCCACCAGCAGCGCCTCCAGGCAGTGGTGCGTGAAACCTGGGAGGCCGCACATGGTCACCGGCAATTCCGAGCACCAGGCCCTGGAGCCCCGAGTCCCCCGCTCTGCTGTCACCGGCCCGTGTGACTGGGGCCAGGCCAGGAGGCCACTGTGCCCGGCCGTTCTGCGGCACGGGGTGGTGGCCTGTGTCTTCCTGGGGGCCCCGCTGCCCACTCTGGAGTGGCTCCGCTTACCGAGGGCATGGTAGGTGGAAAACTTCCAGATCTCCTCGAAGGTCTTAAACGTCACCACGATCCGGTCCTGGTCGCTGTGGATGGACAGCAGCCTGGCAGAGAGTTCCTGGGGAGAGAGGAGCAGACACCGGAGACTCCGGTGGCCTTGGGGTGTCAGTGCAGCCGGCAGGAGGTGCTGCAAAGTGGCCTCGGCTGGGGATGGCAAGTGCAGAGTGGGTTTCCTTACAGCCCAAGCCTGGTCCTCTCTCAATCCCAAGACAGCCATGGCTCTCCAGTGCCTGAGGACCAAGCCTGCGCTCCTCCCTAGGCCTCTCTGCTCCAGCCCCTGTCCCTCTACGCCTCTGGCCACTCCACTGCCTGAAACCTGCACAGAGCAACACCAGCCAGCTTCGGTCAGTTCTGCTTGGGCTGTGCTCTCAGGCTCTCTCTGGGCCTCAGTTTCCCCATCTGTGCTCCTCAGGCCCACATACCACTCGGGTTCAGCTCTGCCCCCAGCATCCCTCTCGTCTGATTTCCATGCCACCTGTCTCCTCCGTTCTCTGCTGTCCTCTGTGTCTTTGACCCTCTCCTCGCCCCAGCCCCTGCCTGGGCCCCAGCGTCAGGCTCACCCCGAGCACTCGGGCCACCTCGAGGCTGTCATTCTCCAGCAGGCGCAGACGGCCACGCAGAGCCTGCTGCAGGCCTGGGTCTGGCCGCCCGCTCTTCCTGTGCACGGCCCGCAGCTGCAAGGTCAGGTCTGCAGGGCAGAGGGCCTGTGTGTCAGCCTGGCCAGGGCAGTGTGGGGCTCCCCGGGTCCAGCTGCAGGCCTGGGCTGGGCTTGCAGGGAGCCCCATGGTCAGGGTTCGAATCCCAGCAAGGTCCACAGCACCGGGGAGACTGGCTGCTGAGAGGACAGGAGAAGGGCACACAGGTTCCACCCCGCAGCCAGCAGCCCCAGAGCAGCTCCTGTGACCGTGACCGCAGCCCCCATAGGCACCGGGAGCCCCATTTCTCCTCAGGTTCCCAGCTCCACCCCACCTGGCCGGGCCACGGGCTCTGAGCAGGGCCCCTGTCTGGCCGTCCCCAGTCCCTCCTCCCGTGTTGTCACCATGCTGCTGCCCCGGCCCTGCCTTCCAGATCAGCAGCACCCAAGGGTGCTTCCTGCAGGATGGACTCAGCCTCCGTCTACGCCGTCCCACGCAGCAGGCACCGGGGTGCTCAGGGTGCCCCACAGCGGCCATGGCCTGCACCTTCACTGTCCCCTAGGTTAAAGGCTGGTCCCCAGCCCAAGGCTCTGTGGAAACCTCTATGATCTGGGGTCGTGGGATGTGCGTGGGGGGCACTGTAGCCCCAGGCTCCTCTCTTTCTCTTCTACGCAGCGAGCAGTGTGGCTCAGCCCAGCCTCCCAGCACTGTACTCGGAGCACCCGGGCAAACAGAACTTTAGCTGCCTGGGGAGCCAGGAGCCCGGACAAACCTCCTTATGAGCTGCGGCCTCGGTGTTTGGGGCTGTGACAGGAGGCGACTGAGCCGCCCAGGGGCAGGGCTCCTGCTCACCTGTGGGACACGCTGCCATCTGGCCAGGAAGGGTCTCGGCCGGTCCCGAGGTGGCTGTCCCGGGAGGAGGAGCCGCATCTGTAACACAGCAGGTCCCTGTCATGGAGGACGGTTGCCCAGCCACCACCCAGCCTCACCCACGCCCACCCAGGACAGAGGCCTCACGCGTCCTGCCTGGCTGAAACAAACTGTCCAGACCCGAGTCCCTCTGGATTTCGGGCTGGGTCCCAAGGCAAGCCAAGGCATGCAAAGTGACCCTGGGGCAGCTCCAACTCCTGCCTCTGCTGTGGCCCACGGCCCCTCCGTCTGCCCGTCTATCCGTCTGCCCATCTATCCGGCCGTCCACCTGTGGATTTCTGACTCTGCCTTTGTCCCCGAATCTTTGCTGGCTTCCTTGAATCCCACCCGTGAAGCCCCTGACTGCAGATGAGCCCCACCTCCTACCCTGGACTCAGCCCATCGGCAGAGTCCTTTGCCCTGTGGGAGGACAGAGAGCCCGGGGCTGGGACCTCAGCGCGACATCGCTGGGTCTCTGATTCTGCTGACAAGAGGGGTGAGGGTGTTGCTGGGCTCTTGGGGGGTGGCCGGCACAGTATCCTGGGGTCCTCGCAGCCCTGCAGTGTGGGCTCCCAGGCTGGGTGCGGATCAGTGAGACCCAGATGTGGGGTCGGAGGGTCCCTTTGCCACTGGCACACATCACGGCCAGGGTGTGGAGCCCACGGCTGCTCTGTTCCCCGGAGGTCGGTTCCTGGGGGTCCCAGGCTTTGGGCTTGCTCCCCCACACCCGCTGTGAGCTTGTCCTGGCCTGGGCCTCTCTCCTCCACCTCGCCCCGTTCCCCGCCTGTGAAATGAGCAGGTGGCACAGGGACCGAGTTCTGCCCTCAGACCAGAAGCCTGGCTGCTCACACGGAGCTGAGCTGGGGGTGAGGGGACCTGGGCTGTCGGCGGTCCCAGAAGTGAGGGCACACAGGGAGACAGGTCGGGGCCAGGGAGACACGTCCAAGCCCGAATCCAGACATGTCTGAGCCACGAAATAGTGAGCATCACAGCCGGAGACCAGCTTGGAGGTCTGTGAGGCCACGGAGCAGTGAGTGAGTAATGGGCAGGGGCCCAAAGCCAGCCCCGATGCAGAAGGACCAGATCGAGCCAAGGGGTCCACCTGGAGTCATCCCTGCAGTGCCAGCCCCTGAAGGAGCACAGCCCAGGCCCGTGGGCCCCAGCCGACGCCTGGACAGGGCCGCAGGGCACCCTCGGCTGAGGCCCGACCCCTCTGCCAGGAGTCGCTGTCTGCTCTGGGGGGAGCAGGGTCCGTGGTCCCTGCAGGCCCCGGCACAGCCCACCTGCCCTCTGCCCTCTGCCCTCCCAGCCCAGCCACTGCTTGTGATGGGAGCCGGGCTCGGGAGGCCACTCCGTCCCTCCCCATTTTCGGGAAGTGTAAACACTGGGTGCCTGGCACCCCCAGGGCCAGGGTCTGGGCCAGGTGGCTTTGGTCTCTGCTCCCAAAGTGCTGCTCATTTGTTGATCCTCACGCAGTTACTGAGCATCCCTGGGCGGAGCCCCGGGGACCAGGCCTGGACAATAGGCAGCCAGTCAGGGGAGGACGCAGGAGACCCCGGAGGAGGAGCCCGGAAGGAGCAGCCTGGGGGAGGCCCGCCCTCCTCTCACTGCTACACCAGTGTCTAAGGGTGGAGGGGAGGGGCCCAGGAGGGGACACTGAGGCTCGGCCAAGCGGCGCCCCCACCAATGCTCAGGACCAGAGCCCGGCCCCCCCAGAGCAGCCCCCCTGCCCCGTGCCCACTCTGCTGACCCCAAAGCGGCTGGAAAAACACGAGCCTGCCTCGCCACGCCGGTGACTCACGGCGCAGCTGTCCTCCACGCGCCGGTGAGGAGAAGCGCGGGATGCAGGCTCGGCAGCTGCCCGGGGAAGTGGAGGATGGGCAGCATGGGCGCAGGGCGCATGGGCCCCCTTACCCGCTCCACCGGCTGCCCTGGTTTCCCCTGCTGTGCCCACGGCCCAGCTCTGCACTGGATCACCGCCGCTGCAGCCCCCCAAGGCTGCCCCAGGCTCCCTGCCCATTGCAGCTGGCTCCTCAGAGGTCCGCTCCGGAGGGCCCTTCATGTCCCACGGTGGCCTCAGAGCCCCAGGCCCGGCTGGCCTTCTGTGGGGAGAAGAGGGCAGTGTTCAGCATTGACGCTGTGCCAGGGATGCAGGCTGCAAGGTCCCTGCCAGTCGGGGTCAAGAGGGGAGAAGCCATGCCAGCGGCCCTCGTGTGCAGCAGGTGACCAGGCACGAGGGAGTGGGGTGCATGACCCGCCCCACCCCTCTGCCAGCCTCTTTGCTGTGCCCTTGCTGCCAGAAACCACAGGACCTTTGCACAGGCTCAGCCCAGGGTAACCACGGGCCGGGCCGGGCTTGCAGAAGTGACCCCACCTGCCCTCCCTGTGGGACTCACTGTGACCACCCCTGGTGACCGGTGGGGACCCCAGGGCAGCCGCAGGCAGGAAAGGAAGACAGGTGACAGAACTGTGTCACGGTGCTCTGGGGCCTCCTCGACAGCACGGGTGGCAGTTTTGTGCCAGGACGAGCCACATGCCTCTGTCCCGTCTTTGTCCCGGGAGGCTGGCCCCACAGGGCCACGCCTGAGGAGCACCGTGGTCTCCTTCGGGTTGTGGCTTCTGCACTCGCACCTCCCCACACCCAGGTCCAGCTGGGCCTCAGACTTTGGCCCTTTCTCCTCACTCCCCGGGCAGCCACCCTGGCTCCTCCCCGGAGGATGCCCACCAGGCACTGCCCAGCCTGTCCATGGCAACTGGAGGCTCACGCCTGGCTGTCCGCCTGGCTGATGCACAGGGAGCGAGGCGTCTGCACAGAGCACTTGCTCCGACCTCCTGACATGCAGGGTCCCCCCGTCCTGCCCATCGTCCTTAGGAGCCAGCTCAATGTCCTCTCTTCAGGCAGAGCAGCTCCTAGGCGGGGTCCCTGCACCACCTGGCCAGTGCCCAGAATGGCCACCCATCCTCCCACCCCTACCTGGGCAGGACCCGGCGGATCCAGAAGGGCCCGGGCACAGAGCTCAGGCGCTTCCGGAGAAAAGGGAAGGTCCCAGCTCCGGGGGTTCCCCGCCTTTCCCGAGGACACAGCGCTGCGACCACACACGTGCCCCACTCAGAGGCGAGGAAGTGGGGCCCATCCTGCTGCGTAGCGTAGTGACAGCCTCCCCGCCTCCCAGGCCTGGCACCACACTGACTGCAGACTCAGCAGCCTGGGGCACCCGGCAGCCCCAGCTTAGCGTGCTGAGTTTAAGTGGCCCCTGAGCATGCAGCAGACGCTCTCTCCTCCTGGCTTTCTTGGGAGAGACAAACCCAAGCCAGCCTCAGGCTCCAGGCCTAGTCTCTGGCCAACCTGAGTTCTGCTTCTGGTTTTGATTTTTTTGAGGCAGGGCCTCACTATGGAGCCCAGGTTGGCCTTGGACTTGCAGTGATCCTCCTGCCTCAGCCTCCTGAGTGCCAGAATTATAAGTGTATGGTACCAAGCTGGGCTCGCCCACCCTGAGTTTGCAGCCAGGACACGGAGCCCTGGGGTGAATCTCGATTGGAAGGGACCTCAGAACAGGAACTGGTGGGGAATAACATGTTTTGCAAAAGAAGTTAGCTTCCGTCATGAGGAGGCCTCGCTAGACGAGGGTGTTCCCACCTCGGACCTGGCGTTCTTGTGAGGGGAGACAGAGGCAGTGTGGGGGAGGCCTCGTGGCCACACAGGCAGGGGCTGGGGGACACTGCCAAGCTGAGGAGCCCGGGCCAGGAGTGGGCAGAGGCAAAGGGCACCGCCTGCTGACCCCCGGGAGGACATCGTCCCTGCTGCTAGCTGCCTGCCTGTCCTGTGATTGCACCGAGTCACGGCCCTCAGCGGGGAGGAAGCGACCACACAGAGGAGCCTCCTGGTGCTGCGGCAGCTGCTGTCCCCTCCCCAGCTCTGCTGCTGTCCCCTCTGAGCCAGGCAGGTGGGGTCCTGGGCACCCAGAGGGGTCACATGTCCAGGGAGGCCTGGGGATAGAAGGCCCGGCCCAGGAGCCTTCTAACAGACCAAGGGTGTGTGGGTGTGGTGATGCACACCTGTAATCCCAGCACCCGGGTGGCTGAGGCAGGAGGATCGCCTTGAGTTTGGGGCCAGCCTGGGCTGCATAGTGGGACCCTGTCTCAAAAACCCAAAATTAATAGACCAGGGGTGACCTTGGTGTGGCCCAGTCATAGCCACAGTGGCACGGTGGGCTTCACAAGGGCACTGTGCTGGCACTGTGTGTCTGTAGATGTGGCCTGTGGTCACCCAGGGGGATCCGTGGGGTGGCAGACCCTGGGGACACTTGCTGGGGCCAGCTGATGGCTCCTTGCTCAGGTTTCTGCTCTGCCTGAGCCCCGTTAGTCAGAAAAGCCCTCCAAAGTGAAAGTGGGAGCCGCTCTTACATCCACCATGTCAAGACCAGCTCTGTCCACACAGCTTGCTGGGCAGTCCATGCCCGTCTCACCCGGCCTTCCCGAGCCCCCGTACCTGCTCTCCGCTCCCCAGGCAGCTCCCAGGCCCGCCAGGCCAGAGGACGCGGGCGCCAGGTGCCACTCTGGGCTGGGTGCAGGGCGAGGCAGGCTGGTCCCAGGGTCTGTCTCCAGCTGGCCGGGGCCGGCAGGGGCCGCCCACAGTGGGCTGGCTGCACAGCACTCCCCGGCTTCTGGCCCCACTTCCTCTGCGAGACACAGCCCGGCCGCAGGACTCCCGGCAGGCAGGTTGATCATTAGCTCCCCCTGGGCTGGCGCCAGGCCTGCCGCCTGCCCACTGCCGCCTGCCCACTGCCAGCCCAGGGCTCTTGGGGAGAGGCCTGGGGACACCCAGTTCCCTCGTGGCCCAGGGATTGGGGAAGTCACAGCCAGCTGCCAGCCCCGCCGAGCTCAGTTCTTCTCTGTTCCCTTCAACTCCTGCATACACAAGGGTGTCCACTGATGTGTGTGTGTCCTAGGCACACGTGTGTGCTCCTGTGTGCACAAAACACCCTCACCCTTGCCACGCTTCTGGGGAAGAGAGGGGTCCTCCTTCCTCAGGAGCCCCCATAGGCCCAGCCTCTACCTCCCTGTAAGCTGCAGGCCCGAACTGCTTAGGAGCAGGAACCTCCCTGGAAGGCGAGGTGGAGGCCAGGCAGGGAACCGCCCCATGCACGAGGAGGCCCAGAACGAGGAGTAGATCCCAGGCCCTGGCTCTGCAGGGCCCGTGGACGGCACTGGCTGTGCCCAACCCACCACAGCCTGCACGAGGGACACCCTCCTCCTGCCTGCCCCGAGGGTGTAGCCCTGGGGAGGCCCATCTGACTATAGGCTCTGGTGACCAGGCCCAGGCAGGCTCTGTGTCCACACAGGAGCTAGAGGTACTTCCTGTCCAGGCCTTTGTCCTCACTGCAGCCAGCAGGCCCAGAGCCCCCACTTCCTGTTTGTCTCTGCAGCTGTGCTCTTGGCCCACCGCTGGGGGACTTTCCCAGAGAACCCCCAACCCCTTTCAGGGCGCCCCTGCCTTCCAGGGCCGAGCAGGGACCCTCAGGCCCTGGGGCTGCTGGGAGCAGGGCAGAGCCCCCCAGCCCGGGTGCAAGAGGCCATCTCAACCCTGCCCGAGTGGGTCCCTCTGCAACCACAAGTCATGTTACTGAGCTTCAGTTTCCCCCTTCCAGGGCTGGAGGTGAGCATGGCGATCTGACCCTGACACAGTTGCCTTAAATTTCCGAGGTCCCTGCCCAGGAGGAAGCCGTGTGCCTGGAGGGGCCAGCAGCAGTGTGATGGGCTGCACGCTCAGCGCCCAGAGGCCCTGCGCACAAAACTGTACCAGAAGGCACCGAAGCCCTGGTGCTGCCTGGCAAGTCTCTCCACTGAGCTGCATCCCCGGGCTTTTCTTTCTTCATCTTCACACAGAGTCTCCCTAAGTTGGCCGGGCTGGGCACATTCTTGCCATCCTCCTGCCTCAGCCTTCCGAGGAGCTAGTAGCTGGGATTACAGCAGTACGCCACTGTGGCTGGCTGGCTCAAAACAGTTTCCAATGTTGTCATTTTAGACCATTTTCAGTTCTCCGGGGCAGAGTGAGCCGTACCTGAGTGGGATCTCAGCTGGAAAGGGTCCAGACCACGCGCTGGGCCCCGGGCACAGCCTGCCTGTCGGGGGGTTCTGCTCTCTGCCTCTCCACTCACTGGGGCTCAGAGCTGCACCCGCTGCTCATGACTGTGGCCTCGATGTCCCAGCTCTGCCTTCTGGGTCCCCATCCAGCAGGGGAGACCAGGATGGCCAAGCTGATGGTGCAGGGATAGAGGGAAGCCTGGGAGGGGAGGGTGAGGAGGGTGAAATTCTGGGAGGCTTCCTGGAAGGAGAGGCTCCTGGCCTGAACCTTGGAGAGAAAATCCAGGCAAAGAAGGGGTGTACAGGGCAGGAAAAGGGGGACAGGAAAGCTTGGAACAGCACAAGTCCAGCTGTAGCCCAGACAGCTGTGCCCCAGGCCCACAGGGCTGCAGCCAGCAGGTGACTGGGTACTGGTAGTCCAGGATCCCCGAGGGTGGATCTGCAAGGGGCCACTGATGGAGCAGCTATCAGGAATGTGGGGCCCCGGAGGCAGCGACTCCTGCACCTGCCATCAGCTTTGGCTGGCTGCTACCCGGTCCTTGCAGAACTCAGAAACACATGCCAGGAAGGGGCCTTGGGCAGTCAGCGTGACACCACGGGCCCCTGGCAGAGCAGGCAGAGAGACCGATGTCACTGTGGGCATGGGATGTGGGGGTGGGGTTGGTGCCCTACTGTGGGGTGGAGGGGGACCGGAAGGCAGCTCAGCATCAAGCCAGCCCAGGGGCAGGTCCCACGGAGACAGGCCTGCCACGCTGGCCGAGGGCATGGGAAGGCAGGACGTGAGGAGGACGCCTATGGGGTGGCAGAGGTGCCCAGAGGAGCAGCGGGACTGGATCCCATGTGCCTGCTCCTCACTGTGCCATGTGGCTGTGAGGCTCCTACACAGACATTGTCCTTGTTGTCTTCAGCGGCCGAGACCCAGGGTACGAGAGACCCAGGATACAAGAGACAGGCTCCAGCTGGAGGGCGAGGTGGCAGTGTGGATGCTTCAGGGTTGCAACTGGGGAAACCGAGGCTCAGGAAGAGTGACTCAGGCCGCCCTCCTAGGCCCTACAGGAGGCAGGGACAGCCCGGATCCCAGCCCCACGAGAAGCCCTGTCTCTCCTGTGCCGATTCCTCGTCTGGACACGGTTCCCAGCACCACAAGGACGCCGCTGCCTCCACACACTGCATGGCCCACGAATTCCTGAGTCCCACTGGACCAGCCTGTGGCTGGCTCTGGAAGGGATCAGAACAGCACCATCTGTTTGTTATTTTTGGCCTTGGCTGCCAAAACCAGAGCTGATCACGGACGCCCAGTGTGGCAGGCAGGCCCGAGGCTGCAGACACTGCCCATTCAGAACAAGGCTGTGGGAGCAGACAGGCCGGGCAGGTGACAGATGACACTGGGTCGGATGGGTGGCCGGCCGCCGGGTCAGAGGCCCACAGGAAGCGGTCAGCAGTTCGGAAGGCGCCTGCTCCTGCCTGCCGGAAAGGGCTCCCTCCACAGTCTGGCCCGACCTCCAGCAGGCACATGGGCTCTGTGGGGACCACGACAGGTGCGGCCCCTGCCTGGGAAGTCACTGACTGTAGCCAGCAGGCCTCTCACTGCTTCTCCTGCAGGGGAAGCCCAGCCAGCAGGCAGGGCCCTGGCCGCCTGTGACAAGGACTCCGCCGAACAGTGCTCTTCGAGGCCCCCGGGGCAAGTCGGCCAGAAAGGCCGCACGGCTGTCTGCACAGGGAACAGGAGGCTGGAGGCCCCCTGGACCTCTGGGCTGTGGGCTGTGGGGTGCACAGAGGAGTCGGGGTAGGAGCTGGGCTCTGGGGGTGCTCTGTGGCTGCCCTGGTCCTTGAGAGCCTGGGGAAGTCAGGTCCCTGCTCAGATCTGAGAGCCACGGTCCCCAGGACCCTGACCCCAGAGCCCAGCATTCCCAAAGCAGGGCGAGGCCACTGAATTCCTGACATTCCTGCCAGCCCCTTCCCTCCCCCCATCTCAACCCTAGTTTGCACAAACAGGAACCCTCCCAGGCTGGGGTGGAGCTCTCCCCACACCCTCTCCCGGAGACCAGGGCCTGCAACCAGGTGGGGCAGCAGGGCTTGGGGAACTCCGGCCACCGGGCTGCAGGCAGTGCTCTGGCCTCCAAGGCAGCCTGGACAGCTGCTTCCCACCTCAGCCAACCATACCAGGGGTCCCCACCGCCATCTCCGCACCCCCTCAGTCCACCCCACCATGCCACCCCCCGGCAGCCTGCTGACCCGGGGCCAGGGCCCCTCCTCCTCGGCAGCTCCTTGCTCTCAGGGCCCCGGAGCCCGGCACAGCATGGCACACTGCAAGCGTGGCTGAGTGACCCATGACCACAGGCGCCCAGCCTGAGTGCGCACAAGGATCGCAGCAGCCCCTGGCTCCCGTGGCCCAGGCGCTGGAGGGCTCGGACTCCCAGGCGTTCGGAAGGGGCACTCGCCCCCAGAGTGGGCTGGACAAGATGTCAACCCCTTTCCTTCCATCCACTTTCTTTTTTCTTTTATTATTACTATTTTTGTTCATTGGTTTTTGTGAGACAGGGTCTCATTATGTAGTTCAGGCTGGCCTCAAACTCTGGGTCCTCCTGCTCCAGCCTCCAGAGTGCTGGGATTACAGGTGTCCGCCACCACGCCTGGCTCCGTCCACTTCCCACTCACAGAGCCATCCGGCCCCCTGGACAGCAGTACCTGCCCCAGACGCTGGAGACAGGGACAGGTGGCATCTTCACAGGCTTCCCTGCAGGCCCTGAGCGGCAACCCCGGGCAGGTGACAGGTGACAGCTGCACCTGCACCTTCACATCCCCACCTACCCTGGCCAGCTGTGTGTTTCCTGGGTGACGTCAGGGGCGTTGCCAGAGCCCAGGCCAGGCCAGGCGAGCCCTCAGGCAGGTCTCCTCTCCTTGTCACAGGGGGCACGGCCTCCACTCCTTCACCCTTGCACAGAGGCCATGAGGGGCACAGGTGCAGGGCCAACTGCCCAGCAGGGATTCCGGGGAGTCCTCCCCTGCCCCGCCCTGGCTGCCCACCTGGCCAGAACCTGCCCTGCATGCAGAGGGGCCGCAAAGGGAAGCGATGCCTGTCACCACGGAGTGGGACAGCAGGTGGCTTCATCCTGGGATGTAGCTGGACCACATGACCTCGCCTCCAGCTCCAGCCCCGTGCTCAGGACAGCCGAGGGGACAGCGGAGCCTCAGTGGCTGAGACAGCGCAGGTAGAGAGGCCAGGGCCACCAAACAACTCCTAATCTTGCCTGGGGACAGCCAGGGAGGCTGCCTCAGCCCGTGAAATCTGTTCCATGGCAGGAAATAGACACAGTAAACTGGAAGCTTTTGGGAAGCCAGGAAGTAAGGACATAAGCATAGGCGGACAGACAGACAGATAGATGATAGGTGGTTGATGATAGATCAATGACAAATTGATACACAGACAATAATAAATTGATAAATAATGGATTAGATAGATGATAGGTGATGACTGGATAGATAGATTGATGATAAACTGATATACACCACTGGGTGGTTGAAGGATCAATAGGTCAAGGGGGACACAGACCTAACTGACACAGCCCCCACTGTCCATGCTAGAACAATGAGAGCAACAAAGCAAAGCACATTAGACAGTAACCCGAGTATCAAGTGGACCTCCCCGGGTCCACGCTGGAAAGAAGCGACCCGAACTAAGTCAGGGGAGAAGAGGATCCCTCCCTGGCCAAGACTGTGAACATAGTCAGTGGCCACCCCGTCCTGCAGCACACCCAGACAGCTCAGTGTGTCCTTCTGG